TAATTCATTTTAATTTATATTCATTTTGTATGATTTCGATTTAGTTTTTAGTATTTTATATTAATTATTGGGCGTTTATCAAAATTTTAAATTTCTTAAAATATGTTCAATATTTTCTAAAGGCTTTTCATTGAACGCATTGACTTCAATGGGTTAACGTTAACAAACAGATGTGAATTTTCAGCTAAGCCAAATGGCTGCAGCAAATGGGCTGGGCGTTTTCAAATTCTATTTTCTTCTTGCTGTACGACCGGAAATTGGCAGAGCAAACACAGAGCAAGCCAAAGAGGCTGCAGCAGGCAGATACAAATAGAGAGAGAGAGAGAGAGAAAGAGAGAGAGAGCGAGATGGAGAGCGTGAGATGCCAAAGTGGCTAGAGCATTTTTGGGGTTGGCGGTGCTTCAGCAAAAATAGTCGAACAATGCATAATGCCATAACGATCTGTCAGTTTGAAAAATAGTGGGAAGCTGGTCTCGAATTTGATAGTGCATAGTTCTCTACCCAATCCCAAAGAGCACAGATGGGACGGCGATTTTCAGCTATTGAATTTCGTTTATAAGCTTCATTGTGTGCGTTCAGGCAACGTCATCGTCATCATCCTTATCCCCTAGCCTTACGCAGAGACGGTGACTACTGCTCCCTCCTCGCGTAGCATTTCGCCCCTCAAACATCGTCATAGACGTCAGCTGGCGCCGCTGCTGCTGTCGCTGTCGCTGTTGCTGCTGCTGCTGCTGCTGCTGCTGCTGCTGCTGCTGCGTATTCATGACACAATTGGCTTAAGGCAATTGGTAATATCCTCTCTTGGCATTTATGTCAATAGTTGTAACGCAAAAAGTCGACTTCATGTTCACGGCAATGATAAAGAGCAATAGAAAAGAAGAGCAAGAGACTGAGCCAAGGGAGGCATGGGAGGGTGCAAGAAGTGCGACTGTGTGTGGCATGTGTTGCATAGCTTTTGGCTCAGCATGTAGCTTGGGGCATGGCCAGCATCATGGGGTACGACGAGTGGATTTATAAAGCTCACTGCACCCAGCATGTTGCCCATATTAAGTTACGAGCAACAAAAGGGGCTCCATCCTGTCATTAATATTGATCATAATTTATAGAGCAGCGGAAATGTTAATGTTACTGCAGATTTCTCGTTTTTCAAGTGACTGCAACATGAGACAACTGATATTTTTTATGAGCTCAATGCACAAACAAAATTGCACACTTCACTATAATTTATTTAATAAGTCTTGAGGTACTCTACAGAAAATTAAATTCCATAGTTTTAGTATTATGTTGCAGCTGAGGAATCTCGTTTAATACAATCAAAATTTAATGTAGTCAAAGATGTGTATTATGCATATGTAGATATATGTAAATTATCTTTTTAGTTAAAGAATGAATGTATATAAACTCATCCCAGATTTTAATAAAATATATTATCAAGCTATCTACTGGCAAAGATTTAAATTGTATCTGATTTGTTTAGCAAAAGTTTAATCTCAATAATTAATTTCACAAAGCAACAAATCATTTAATAATCAGGTATATAATATTGTATTGACGTCGCATGCTAAAACATTATTTTTTCCAGACCTTTTTTATATGACGTTAAAGAAATAAAACTGCTATAAAGAATATACAATTATCATTCTTTGCAAATCAAGCTGAATCAAATTGGAATGCAAATTTGTCCTTTAAAACAATTCTGGAAGCTTTATCTAATAGATGGTAAATGTGTATGTTATATTATATATGTTTATATACATATAGTTTTCTTTTAATATAATATATGTTAGTCGCCAATTAAAGAGGAAATGCCAAAATTTAATAAATTCCAATATATTTGTATTATAAATGAGAAACAAAAGAAATTATAAAAGCTAAAGGAAAGTATTCAACTATTTACTAATTTTTTGGATTCAAATCTTTTGTATAATTAATTACTTTTACTATAATTTAAGTTTTAATAATATTTTTACTATAATTGCAACTATAATTTAGCCAGATTATAATATTTAAAAATATAAAATACAAAATATTTAAAAATATTTATTTAAGCTCAGTATTTAATTTCAAACATTTTCAAGTGCTGCTTATCTACATATAAAATATTTAAATTTATTTATTTAAACTCAGCTTCAAATTTTTAAACATTTTCAATTGCTGCTCATCGCTTTAGTAACTCTTGAAATCTTGTTCACAGCTTTAAGCCGCTTACACCAAATGCCTTTTGGTAGCCCGACTGCTTGAACCCCAATTACAACGAGTGCAGAGGAATTTCAGACGAGGGCTTTCAGCTCACCTTCACTTGCCACCTGCTTAACCTTTGTGATTGCACACGCACGCATACAGGCAAACATATAAATGTAGATACATATATATGTATATGTATATATATGTATGTGATAATTTAGTGCACTTAATTTGGTCATCGAGAGAAAAAGAATATGAAACAAGTTGAATATCAATTTGAAGCAAAGCACAAACTACGAGGCGGTGCAGTGAGCTCCAAATATGTATAATTCGGCATAATTGATTACCTGTAATGTATACAATTATGTTTGTCGCTGACGTCGATAAGTGAGTAAAACAAATGACAAGTCGCAGCAGCAACAACAACATACGACAAACGGACCCGGACAGCTGGCCGGATTGTCGAAAGTAGTTTTTATTCGTAGTAGTTAGTTGCAGGAGTGTGGGGGAGGGGGAGGGGGAGGGGGGAGACAACTTTCGTATGTAATGTCAGTGCGTTTATTTGGGTGCCCCCTGTGGATAGACGCTGGCCAAGCGACAAGCAACGACTGCACTTGACATTTAACTGACATGTGAGGCGGACAGACGCTGAAATGTAATTAAGGCGCCGCGCAATGCTCCATAGGGCCACATGGGGGCGGGACGAACCGGTGCGGAGCGGGGCAGGGTAACGCCTACTTGTAAGGTAGCTAAACGATATTGCAATTAAAATTGAAAAACAAATTGATTTTGCCATTTGCAAGAGACGGCCAGGATAATGACTAAGTAAACTGGCGTTGGGTGCGTTCTACTATTGTCGGAAATTAACAAGTCCCAATTGCTGTTGTTGTTGTTGGGGACTTTCGTCCCCCTCTCGATGGGGAGAAAAAAATACGTATTCTGACATTTATCAAGCGGCAAACCGATTATTTTCATTCCGAATTTTTGACGGCCTAATGGCCGAAAACGCTAGCGCATAGTTGATTAAAAATTCATGAGACCACACCGAGAAAAAAAAATTGGTAAATATAAAAAAAAAAATAAAAGTGTAGCTCAAAGTTTGTGCTCTAACCCAGAACATTGACAGGAAATATTTGTTTTGGTTTAACGCCACTATCATCAGCTTTTGCGTGTCTCCAAAAATTGTTGTGTGTGTGTGTGTGTCTGTATGTGTGTGTGCATTTGAAATTTGCTTTCAATCGATTTCTCTTTTAAGATTAATTACGATTCATATTTCGTTTAGGTGACAATTTGTTTCTATTTTCCGTCGTATGCATGGGTAGAAATTCTTATATAATATAATTATATTGTTACTATAGTATTATGTTATTATACTATTATATTATTGTGCTATATTATAATACTATTATTATTAAATTTCTATTATAATTTTTAAAAGTTCTCTAACATATTTTTAAATTATTTTCTTATTTTTTTCGGCATTTTTGCTTAGCATCAATTTAACAGATTTATGGCTTAGCTTCATTTTATAATTTTATAATTACTTATTATAAACTAATTACTTTGCAATTTTTTTTTTTAATTTATAATATTAATCTAGCTATTTTATTTATCCAAATCACGTACACATACGCATACGCAATTTTATTTCATTTTCCATTAAATAATCATAAAAATTCAAATATTTTGCAAGCGCATGACAAACCCTTTCAAAAGTTCTTTATACTCTTCACCCCGAAGGGAAGAAATGTAAGCGAGCGAACAGATTTCAATTTTTCTACGATACTGCACAAAGAGGCAGAGAGCATAGTGAGCTAGCAAGAGTAACGAGATAATAGATCACAGCATATCAAAATGTGATCAGGTCTGAGTGCTCGCAGCACACTGAGTTTGTCGTGACTTATTTTCACTGCTCGGGCTGCAACCGAATGAGCCGAGTAAATACAAAGTAATTTATTCTCGCTCATGTGACTGAAGGCACCAATATATAAAACCTACAGAGCACTCCAATTCAAACTCCCTCGGTATGTCTTCGCTCTCACCCAATCGGCTTCGTATTGAATGGACTCTACGCGTCGTATACTGTGAGTGAATTCATACAGCCCTCTAATAATAATATGCAATTGGGTGTCGGTGTGCCTGTGCTCGCTCTCACTTTCGCACAAAATGATAAATAAATTTACTCTGAGTTCCATTTTCAATAGATGTAAAATTATTCTCCCTACATCCTAGCATATTCCGCTAAAAAATAAAAAATAATACTGTTTATATCTAGAAAGTTCCATTAATAAAATATATAAGCCAAACCAGCATTATGCTAAGCTAAGTTTCACATAAAATTGATTCAGAATAATTAATCTACATATAAAATGAATATATTGAAGACAAGAATGCTTTTCTACATCAAGAGATATATTTGATTAATGAAATACGTGCAGCTAAATACCTCGATTCTCTTAATATTATTCTGTCGCAAAACTTAATTAAAATTATTGCACATACAATTTAAAACATCTTGAGCTAATGAAAGCTCTAGTTAGAGTTTTGGCTGAATATTAATGCAATTTAGATAATAATTTAGATAATAATACCATTTATATATATACTAATTAAAAGCTTGTTGCCATAGCAATTTATTGTTGTTGTTGTTGCTATTGTTGTTGGGCTACTTCAACCCAGTGAACTTTCATTCAAAGACAGGTAACTATGCCATTTGGTAAGAGGACACCAAACTTATATTACCTCATGTCTCTCATCACGTTACATGCACGCACACTTGTGAAGTTTTGTGAATTGAATCGGAAAACTTCTGGCTTAAGCTTTCAGCTGCTGTTGCTAGTGCTACTGCTGCTGCCATTGCTGCTGCTGCTGCTGCTGCTGCATGCATGCAAAGCAATTTATGAACCCACACAGAGGGCAGAAAACAGAAGTTAACCTTAGGCTTTGGCTAGCAACAAAGTTGGATCGCAGGCTAATCGACAAACTTTAGTTGCAAATATATTATTTCGACAGCACTATTAATCATGCCTCTATATATTTGATATATACATATATATAGTTGTAAGTATGATAGTAGAGCAAAAACATAATGCCAGCAGCAAAAAAAAAAAAAAAAAATTTTAATAAAATGAGAGCAAAAACTTTAAGTATTTAGCTCGGAAATTTGCTGAACCGTTTTTTTTCCTTCTTCTTCTTCTTTTTTCTGTTGCTTCGACAAGGGGCACGAAGACAGCGCGCAACTGCCACTCGATTGCCATGCAAACATTCAATCGAAACAAATTCCAATTCAATGAAAATAAATGAGCACGACAAATAGCTGCTTGCAAGACACACACACACATATATATAAGTGTGGGGGCATTGGAGGCACGTAAAAAATTTGACAGCATTTTTCGCGTAAGGGAAAAGATTACAAACGGCGGCGAGGCACGCCAATGCCTGCGGCAATGTTCTTGACATATTCCACTTGTTTATTTACACTAGAGACTAGCCGACTGGCAGCAGCTCCCGAACCAGTCGCACAACTACATAAGTAGATGCATAAGGACCCAAAGACATAAGGACGATGAGGCCTGTGGATTGAGGATTGCGGATTGAGCGCACTAAGGACTAAGGACTTACCGCCGCCGCAGGTGACGGAACATTGCGACATCGCCGACATCTCCCAATAATAGAGCGGTTGCGAACAGGAGTTGCCATCGCCTCCGCAAACGCCGCAGCCGTCAATTTTCTTCGTTGAGCCTATTTTCAAATCGCAGCCAACGCGCTGAAAAGAGAAGCACAAAGCCAAATAAGGTATCTGTAGATATGTATATTTGTGTATATGTATTAAAAGAGCAGTCGAAAATGTGGTGGAATTATTAGCGAAGCCTAAATGCACTTACATATAGATTTATTTACATATAATATATAAATTTATTTATT